AGCCGCGCCAAGCAGGGAGGTGTGACTGGAATATGCTCACCCTAGCAGAACCAAACTTGACCATTTAAGCTGTTCCCAGCCTAGAGAAAGGCCGGGCCGACAGACACAGAACATTGTACAAAAACCACAGACAGGAGGGAGCTGGGAAATTGAAAACTTGACCTTTCTGGGGGTGGCGGGGGTGAGCTGGTCATCTGCGGGCCCTCGCTGTGTGCGGGTCACCTACCTGAGAGCACAGGGCCAAGAGGGAACGAGCAGAGGTGGTGAGGGCTGAGAGCAGGAGACAGACGCATATCCCACCAGGCTCCAGGTCCAGTCAAGAAAGCAGATGTGACCACATCTGTTCTCCTTGATATGCGGCCCATCTGATTGAACTTCCCAGGGCTCACACGGGCTCTTCTATGCCAACGAGGCTGCATTACAAAGGCTGATGATGGGCAGGGATGCTGTGACCTGTGACCCACCAGTGTCACCCCTTCGCCTGCATCATTTCAACTGTGTTGGCTTTCTCTACCGTTAACGACATTTCAACGGGCAGCTGGGAAGAGACCAGGGCCCACACAAACTTCCCTCCTTCGAGCCCAGTACTTTCTTTGCTGGGCAGATCAATACCTGAAGACAAGAGCCCCAAATTCCAGTAGAAAGGTGACTAGATCCCCTGCCTCATTCTGTCAACCCGGCATGAGACTCGGGGAAGCTATCGTGGTCCTGCTAAGAACTGGAGTTCGGCGCCTTCTCCCAACAGCCCCACCCGGCCTGCAGCCTACTGTGCTGGAGTTGGTGCACCTCGGAAGGGTGTGCTGCTGTGCAGTGGGTGGCGTAAGTACAGCACGATGCGTTAAGAGCCTCCCACAGCCTCCCAACCTTCCGCCACATCCAGAGGCACCTTCTAAACCAGTGGTTCTCAACCAGTGGGTTGTGACCCCTTTGGGGAGGGGGTTGAACAGCCCTTTCATAGGGGTGGCATATCAGATATCCTGCATATCAGATATTTACAATTCATAACAGTAGCAAAATGACAGTTATGAAGTAGCGACGAAAATAATTTTATGGTTGGGGAGGTCACCGCAACTTGAGGAGCTGCGTTAAAGGGTCACAGGGTTAGGAAGGTTGAGAACCGCTGGTCTAAACAAAGCTTATCATGTTTTATTTTTCTGACAAGAATCTCAAGTGAGGAGACCAAGATCTGACACCTGAGGAAAAGAAAGATGCTACCAGCTCAGGTAACATTCTATCTAAGGACCTAGTTTGCCAGAGGGTGGCTATCATCATGGCAAACCAGAGCAGCCAGGCACAGAAAACAAGTACCACATCTCTCACATGTGTGACCTACGGGGGAGAAAGGGTCATAAAAGCAGAAGTGGGTGTTACTAAAAAAAAAAAAAAAGGAAGAACAGAGGCAGGAGCATCTCTGTGAGTTTGAGAACAGCCTGGTCTATGGAGCAAGCTCTAGATCAGCCAGGGCTACACAGTGAGATGCTGTCTCAAAAAAATAAGATCCAAACCGTAACAGCAACAGCAGGTGACACTCCCTGAGATGATAGGACGCCTCAGCTGTATGGTGTAAGGTCTTCCCAAGTATCCCCTCCCTTGGAGTGCCATTCATGTCCCTCCAGAGAGACATCTGTATTCCTTGATTAAATTCACCTCCTCCTCCAGTGATATCCTGAAATCCAGTGTATTGGCCATGTGAATTTCTCCTTATCAACGTGAATTTCTCCTTAGCTTGACTGTAAGCTCCTGAGATCACGAACCGAGTGTCTAGTTCACACCTTGCCTCTCCTCACAGCCCTGGGGACCCTCACCCAGCTCCAGAACCCCAGGTAGCCAGTCACCACCCAGCACCTGCCGCCCCAGTCTCCTTCCATACTGCCCCTGCCTCCAGGAGTCACAGCCCTGGTCCCTACCCTGTGCTGGAATCGCAGAGGTCAGCTTGGAAAGGGCCTGGAGAAGGGACAAACACATGAGGCCCAGGTATGAGGAAGAAGCCATAAGGAACATGGCCACCTTCCCCCACCTTACATTTTAACAGATGATGCTGGCGGCCTGGATGTGTATGATTAGTCGTTTAAGCGGTGTGGGACAGTGTTGGGAGCACAGCACAGGAGTCCACTGAGGAAGGCTAGCCAGTGGTCACATCGGGAGACAGAGAGAAACCGAGCCCCCGGCCGGGCAGTGGTGGCGCACACCTTTAATCCCAGCACTCGGGAGGCAGAGGCAGTGGATCTCTGTGAGTTCGAGGCCAGCCTGGTCTACAGAGTGAGATCCAGGAAAGGCGCAAAGCTACACAGAGAAACCCTGTCTCGAAAAACCAAAAAAAAAGAAAAGAAAAGAAAAAGAAAAAGAAAAAGAAAGAAACTGAACCCCCTGTAGATGTTACTGAACACAGCACAGCACAAATGGTCCAAGCCCCGCCCCTCCCCTGCCCCCCAACTGGACCCCTAGTCCTGCCAGATGAGGAGGGAATAGGGTGAAACCTCTTCAACCCCGAGAAACCTACATGCCTCTACTGTGGACTACTTCTACTCCAAAGGATCGCCCACCCTTCCCGATTAAATCTTTCCTCATTTCTGGTGATATCCTGAAAAATCCAATTTATTAACTCAACTTAATTACCACTCTGACAGCTGGCTGGGCAGGCTCCCTCTCATCTGAACCACACTTCCCACGGCATGACAACTCTCCCGTGCTCCTCGGGAAGACTGATGTGTCCATCATCAGCTCTCTCATCACTGAGACAGAAGGTCTGACGTAAACAACCCCAGCAGAAGAAGAAGTGGGGCTCGTGGTTTCCAGGTTTCCACAGTGGGAAAGGGTGTGGAAGAGGAAGCAGGGCTCTCTCACACTGAGACAGCCAAGGAGTAGAGCTGGGGGGCAGCCATGCCAGCACGCTCTCTCCTCTGGATCCTGGTATTCCATTTGGGCTCTCAGCCTGTGCAATGGTGCTACCTATATCCAGAGCACACCTTCCCCTCTTCGCTAAAATCCTCCCCGGAAACCCCATCACAGACACAGTCATACCAATCTCAGCTGACTCTGAATCCCAAGCTGAAAATCCAAGTTAACCATGCCTACCCGATGGCAACCTCACACATACTACTTCAGGTTGAAGCGTAACACGTCCATTCCTACCCCACCCCCCACCCCCGTCAAAACACTCATGCCTGTGACAGAATATAAAATTCGTCTTGACCGTCTCCAAGTATCCTGGTTAGCTTTCTGTTGCTGTGATTAAACACCGTGACCAGCCAGGGCGGTGGTGGCGCACGCCTTTAATCCCAGCACTCAGGAGGCAGAGGCAGGTGGATCTTTTTGAGTTCAAGGCCAGCCTGGGCTACAGAGTGAGTTCCAGGAAAGGCACAAAGCTACACAGAGAAACCCTGTCTTGAAAAACCAAAATAAAATAAAATAAACACCATGACCAAAAGCAACTTGGAAAGGAAAGGATTTAATCAGCTTTCAGTTTACAGTCCATCATAGAGGGAAGTCGGGGCAGAAACCTGGAGGCGGGAACTGAAGTGGAGACCATGAAAGAACTGGCTTGCCTCCCATGGCTTACTCAGCCTGCTTTCTTACAGAACCCAGAACTACCAGCCCAGGGGTGGTACTGCCCACAGTGAGCTGGGCCCTCCCACATCCACTCTTAATCAAGAAAATATCCCACCGAGTTGCCTACAGGCCAATCTGATGGAGACATTTTCTCAGTTCAGGTTCCCTCTTCCCAGAGGGACCTGGCTTGTGGTAAGTTGGCAAAAAATTGTGTGTGCCAGGAATCGCCCATAGTCTTAACACTCTAACCCTGTATAATACAGTGGTTCTCAGACTATGAGTCGCAACCCTTTGGGTGCCGAATGACCCTTTCACAGGGGTCACCTAAGACCATTGGAAAACCCAGATATACACTTTACAAAATTACAGTCATGAAGTAGCAACAGAATTAGTTGTATGGTTGGGGGGTCATTACAACATAAGGAACTGTATTAAAGGGTCGAAGCATTAGGAAGGTTGAGAACCACTCGTATAAAGTGTCCAAATTTAAATCTCCTCTGAGACGCAAGGGAAACTCTCAACAATGAGCCTTTGCAAATTATAAAACATGTTATATACCCCCAAATACAAAGGCAGAGAGGTAACACCCCATTAATAGAAAAGAGAGGGGGAGGGGGCATCAGACCAAGCAGGACTGGAGACCAGGAGGATCATCATTAAACCCTGCAGCCCCATGCCTGGCATCCAGAGCAAGCTTCCAGGAGCCTGAGCGGACTCATCCCACTGACTTGCTATCTGTAGCCCACAGGGTCAGTCTCTTGGGATAGCTCTGTTCATCACAGATGGCTTTCCCTCACGGTTGTTTCAAACTCCTGGCATCACCAGGATCCTGGTATTTCCACGGCAAATTCCACTTTACCCTTACAACTTCACAGTCTCCCTCCCGGAGGATGCCTGCAGAGATCCTGACCCTGCTACACCCACCCCACCTTACCCCAGCCCTAGACACACAGGGGTCAGTAGCAAGTAGAAAAAAGTCCATAATGCTGTGGGTTCCCAGACATACAGCAGCCACATGGGACAGGTTAAAGGTCCGGTGAACACTCAACTTCTATGTGCATGTGAGTGTTTTGCCTGTGTGTATATCTGTGCACGTGTAGTGCCCATAAAGGCCATAAGATGGCCATCAGATTCCCCCGCCCCCAGAACTGGAATTACAGACAGTTGTCAACTGCCATGCAGGTGCTGGGAACTGAACCCAGGTCCTCTGCAAGAGCAGCCTGGGCCCTTAACCACTGAGCCACCTCTCCAGCCCCATCAACTCTTGAAGGATTTATTTGATCTGCATACACTGAAGGCACAGGACAGCGCTGTCTGAGACGCAGTGAGTGCTACAGCCACGGACCGAGTGAGCCTAGATAAAATGTGTCTCTGAGGGAACTTTGGCCAGTGGCAGTTAAGTTCTACCAGCTTAACACCTATAATCACTCACACAAGTGCTATGGGTGATCTTTAAGATGCTCCATATCAGTAATTCATTGTTGTTCAATACATTATCCTATATGTAGATCTGAAAAAAAAACAGACATGAACTATTTCCACGTTTCAAAGACCTTCGTCAAGGTCTTTCATCCTGAGTCAAGACATCATGCAGCCTTGGGCTCATCTGATGACTTAGAGGATGCCCCTGTGACTGTGGGCAGGTCCTGAGGCTTCTCTACTGAGCTGTAGGAGCCCCGTGACATAACAGCTGGATTGGTGACTGGAGGGCAGAGAAGAAGGAACAATGCCTTTTGTGGCCTCACCTCTGTGTCCTACTTTGTAGAAGTGGCTTACGCAGTCCTACCACAATATGGAGTCCCTTGTGTCTCCAGGACATTCCCACCAAATCATGACACAATGTCCAAAATTACTAGGCATCTTCTGCCTATCAAAATGCAGGACCACAGGGGAGTCATTCTTTGGCTCTTTGCACCTGAAAGCACTGTAGCTGGTTCCCTCTTCTTTTGTACATCATGTGGTATTTAACTATGATGCTGAAATACATGGACTCAAGCATCAAAATGCCCAGTTTTCATGTGGTAGTGATGTGTATACCCATTACATGGGTTTGCGCTACATACCATCTGTGTGTGGGATGCTGGGGAAGTCACTTAAGGGCTCTTGGCCTCAACCTTTCTCACTCATAACGGAAGATCCTGGCTGCTCTGGCTCAGTCAAGTTCTAAGCTGATGATTTCTCTGAGTTTTCTCAGAGATTCCATAACAAGAGCCTAAGCCAGAGCAGCACTGGAGGTAGGTTCATTTTTTCCAATAAAACTACAAAGAATCCCTTAGGACTAGCAACGGGAAGGAGCTGGGGCGGGGGAGGCGACAGGGAGAAAGAAGGGATGAGTGCTGCTTGGTACAAATGCACGCTTCCCTGTGATACATTTACTATCAGTTTCCTTAGCACACCTTCTTTTCTAATCCCAAATCCCCCTGAACAAATAGGATATTGCCTGTCTTCTGTGTAACCCACCCATAGGGACTAGGTGTCTCTGCAGGAAGCAGTACAAAACCAGACAGCTCAAAACTACACTCAGGGTGCTTAGGGGAGCTTGCTGTGTACGCCAGAAGACAGGGTTTAGACTCACATGAACAGTAGTGGTCATGGCAGCCTACCTGTAATTCTAGCCTAGCAAGACAGAGACCAGGATTCCCCAGACCAAGCTAAGCTAGCCAGACTAGACATATGAGCAAGCTCTGGGTTTGATGGAGAGACCCTGCCTCAAAGAATAATAATGTGGAAGATCAACCGAGGGAGGTTTTGGCATCAACTTCGGGCTTACACACACACACACACACACACACACACACACACACACACACACACACACGATGCACAACTATGTGAAAAAGGTAAAAAGAAAAACACACTTGGTGTACATGTGGGCTGAGCCAGAGAAAGGACTGCCAGGCCAGCCCAAACCACAGGGCGCTTCTGCTAATGACTTCTGCCTTACATGCCTTCATGATTCTCTATGCAGCAAAAACTGGCAAGCCATTTTAATGACCTCTTCCGCTGTGCCTCAGGACCTTGACTAGTCACCCAGCTGAACGGCAGACCCACATTACCCAGGGCCCTCCTGATCCTTCTCAGCTTAAATTCCTGTTACCTAGAATTTTTACTTCAGGCTCCTAGGCGACGCTGTCTGTCTGTCAAGTTAAGAAAGTTTCTCCCTGTTTGCACTCTGCTGAGAGTTCCTGCATACACGATGAGGTAGAAGCTGTTCCCATTCTTCAAGCTCTCAAGCAGCCTTTCCCCACGCTGCACTCAGAACACGCTGACGGCCTGACAGAAAAGAGAGGCAAGGAACCCGCCTGTGATAAGGTGGGAGAGCGTGTGATAAATGATAAAGGTCTGAACTCAAGGGCAACTGAAAGTCGGAGGAACATGTTGTCTTTACAAGACAGAGAAAGAGAAATTGGGAAGCTGACATTTAGGTAAGGATGCCCTAAGAGAAAGAAAGTGCGCAGGAAATAAACAGACAGCATGCTGGAAGCCAAGCTAACCAGGCTCTATGCTCCCCTGGACATTTCTGTTCTTTCTCCCTGGGCTCTTAGGAGAAGTGTGCCACTGGAGTCCCAGGGGGTGGGGGGGAGCTCTTCTCTGCACGCTGACCAGTGGAATGCAGCCGAAGAAGATGCCAGCCTCTTCCGGTGGCTGGCCTTTGAAAACTGCCTGCCAGCTCTTGGGGGAGTTGGGGCGGTTTCCATGGAAACAAGGATGGCATAGCAACAGGCAAAGATTCTGCATGACACAAACAGAGGACAGAAGCAGCCAGGGTCTCCTGGAGAAGCACTGCTTGGACTTGGATACAGCCACTTGGATGTGGCTCAGAAAACCCATCCAAGCCTCATCGGACCGCAAAGCCACTGAGACAGAGCTATTTGTTACAGCAGCAAATGGCAATTACCCTAACAAACACAAAGAGCTGAGTGGGGTGGGGGGCGGGGATCAGGAGTGGTTAATCATCATTATAACCTGGTGGAGGTTTTATTTTTTTTATTTATTTATTTATTTTTAAAGATTTATTTATTTATTATGTATACAGAAGAGGGCGCCAGATCTCATTACAGATGGTTGTGAGCCACCATGTGGTTGCTGGGAATTGAACTCAGGACCTCTGGAAGAGCAGTCAGTGCTCTTAACCTCTGAGCCATCTCTCCAGCCCCTAGTGGAGGTTTTAGTGGTCCCAATCTTATCTCTACTCACTGGCCTTCATCCTCAAGCTTAGGGAAGAAGGACCCTCCTTGTTTTCTTGTGTATAATTAAGAATTTTGTTGTAATAGCCGAACATCTGGGCTGGCAAGATGGCTCCGTGGGTGAAGGAGCTTGTTGCCAAGCCTAATGAACCTGAGTTCAATGCCTGGGACCCACATGGTAAAAAGAGAAAATCAGCTCCTGCAAGTTCTGTCCTCTGGCCTCCACGTATGCACCATGGCGGGTGCGTGCCCACACACATACCAACACAATAAATAAATGAATGTTCAAAAAAGACAAAATAAACCAACATCCACCAAAGCTGCCTAATAACAGAGTTCTGGGAGGGTGGCTGGATAATTGTTTAAAAAGGGAGAATAGTTAAGGCCTGCAATTATAGGAAATAGAACACAGGCTCTCCACAACCTCGGGGTAAATGTCAAAACCATCCCCCCACACACCGTGAGGGAGGAAAACAATGTTGATGGGACTTCTTGGGGTCTGGAGCTGTTCATTTCCCACTCCAAACCCCCTCAGCTCCAGATGGGTGGACGGCACACACGGACCACTCATCAACAGAGATGCACACACAGCAAGGCCACCATTAAGCCCAATGAAGCTCTTAAGACAATCAAGAAGCTTTAGGGCAGCCAGTAAACGAGCCCATTTGTCTTCTGACACCAGAACAGAAATCTAACAAACTCCCAGGGCCCTGGAAATTATCGTATTCAGGAGGCAAAATACTGTTCATGGGTCGGGGAGCCTGGAGCAACCTCTGAGACTCTGACATGGCTTCTCGAAGCCTTCGGGCACACTGCGGATCTGCAGCATGCTGACAAGCCATGTTCTTTCTAGCCTAGAAGTTTGTGCGGCTGCAGCCATGTCAGGTTCTGTAAGACAAGCCACCTTGCTCTAGTTAAAAAAAAAAAAAGTCAAAACAGGTTTCACAGTCACTCTCCCAGGTGACTCAAGGTCACACAGCCAGCAAATAGCAGGGTAAGGGTTGTGTTTTGTTTTAAGTGTGTGTGTGTGTGTGTGCCTGCATGTGTTTATAGGCACCACCACATGTATGTAGTTTCCCTTGAAGGCCAGAAGAGGGTGCCAGATTCCCCAGGGGCCTGAGTTACAGGCAGTTGTGAGCTGCCCAATGTGGGTGAAGGGAACCAAATATGGGTCCTCTGTAAGAGCAGTAAGTGCTTTTAAAGGCTGAGCCATCCATCTCTCCAGCCCCTGAGTTGAATGTTTACTTCCAGACAGTACAACCCCGTGGCCTCACTGATGACCCACATGGCATGAGGCAGAATGGACAGGCGCATGCCAGCAATTTAACTCAAGATGCCCTGAGTCTGGGATGCTGCAGGGGCAGCATGCAAAAGAAAGCAGGCTCTAACGAACAGGGATCACACCTGGCTTCACACTCAACTCTCTCCACTGAGGAAACATTCAAGGTGTCTTTTGTCCAGGTTCTCGGTACTAAAATGCGCATGTGTGCATGCGTGCGTGCATGTGTGTTTAAACTGTGTTTCAACTAGGCAGGTCTCAGGACCTGGAGGAATGAACAGCCTATGGAGAAGTGATGTTTCTGCAGCCATCCCATGAATCCCTGTACCACTGCCCCCCTCCGCCTATACTATGAAGGGGTACAGAGAGAGGAGAGAGATTTTCTCATCTTCTCCAGGGCCTTGTGCATGCTAGGCAAGATTCTGGCACTGAGCTGCAACCCTGCCTCTGCAAGGCATTATTTTTTGGTCCCCGGGGAAGCTCAATATTGAAGCCTTGGGGACAGTTTTCAGGAAGCATACAGCAAAATTACTTCTGTGCGGTAAACACTTAGAGAGCTCTACTTCGTCTGGGTCCTGGGTTTGCCACAAAAGGCAGAAGGAAGAATTAGACCTGGGCTCATGAAGGTCACAGAGGGCTAAGGGGCGCTGTGGCAGCTGGTTATTGTCCAGTAAGCTGATGTCGCCAACAGTGGTCGGAGGGACAGAGCATAGAGCGCTCAGCAACAAAAGCTGCTAACAGGGAACTGTCCAGTGAGAATGTGAGAGAAGAAGCAGAGGGTTTCCAAGGGAAGGAAGGGAAAAAAGAAAATCATGCCACACCCATCCACTTTGCAGAAGTCAAAAAAAAAAACAAGTGTACAGTTACATGGAAGCTATGTGTGGAAACTCAGACCATTTGGGCCAGTCGAAGCGAGCCTGGTTTCTGAGAAGGTAAAAATCAAAGGACAAATTCTGCTTTGTCCTTCATGAACAACTCAGGACGTTGCCTGAGTCTGTCCCCTGGCCTCAGTAAAAACTGTCTAGTGACCAAGCCGTGTAGCACAGGCCTGTGACCCTAGCTACTTGGTAGGCTAACGTGGAAGGATGGTTAAGTCCTGTCTGGGCGACAGGGAACTCAAGGCCAGTCTGCACAGCTCCATGAAACTCTGTCTCAAAACAAAAAGTGAAAAGGAGAGCTGGGGACGTGGCCCCGTGGCAGGGAGCTTGCCTAGCATGCATGAGGTCCTGGGATCCATTCCAATACTGAGAAAAAAAAAAGTCTATGGTGAAAAGCCCCAGCATTGCAGACATTACACAGAACTCGCCTGGCCCACCCCGCACAGCACCCTGCGTCAGAACCCTACATAAGCACCAAACACCAGCATCCTGCATCAGTAGAGGAACTGGTTTTCAACAGAGGCTCAGTGGGTAACTGCAGCAAAATTGTTGACATTTCTGGAAGACACGTGTTCACATTTTGTTTTCAAACAAAAGCTAAAAGCACAGGTCTCAGGACCCACAGACACCAGGACCCTCAGGGAGTCTGCGCAGTGTGACTGGAGAGCCTCATCAGATGCCCAGGTGCAGGGAGCCTGCCACACTGCCTGGACCAAGTCTGTAGCCATCTTCTCTACTCAGCAACTGATGAGCTAGTCATGTCCCTGCCCCTCGGTTTATGCAGAGCAGGTCCAGTGACTTAAGGTCCCAATCTTAATGCCCATGTAACAAGACAGAAAGTCGAGCATGGAGGAGCTTGCTGTCATCCATGTGAGGAAGAGGAGGAGCTTGCTCTTAGAGAAGGAAGTATGGTGGGTGAGATGGATCAGTGAGGAAAGACACTTTACCCATTGATCCACAAGCTTGATGGCCTCAGTTCAGTCCCCCAGACTCACATGGTGGAAGGAAAGACCCAACTCCCACAAGTTGTCCTCTGATGCATGCACATGTACACACACACACACACGCACATGCACACGCACACACACACACACATACACACATATACTCACAAGTACACAAATAAGTAACTAGAAATAAACATTGAGCAAGATACCTCAGCAAGTAAAGGTGCTTGCCACCAAACCTGATGACCTGAGCTCACTCCCTGGGACCCACATGATGGAAGAAGGAAAGAAGTGACTCCCAAGAGTTGACCTCTGACCTCTACCCATATGCATACACACATGAGCACAAACACATGAGTAAATCATTTTTTAAGCTTTAAAAAAAAAATACTCAGCCGGGCGGTGGTGGCGCACGCCTTTAATCCCAGCACTCGGGAGGCAGAGGCAGGCGGATCTCTGTGAGTTCGAGGCCAGCCTGGGCTACCAAGTGAGTTCCAGGAGAGGCGCAAAGCTACACAGAGAAACCCTGTCTCGAAAAAAAAAAAAATACTCAAAATGCCCAAGTATCTCAAAACCTCAAAAGTTGATCATTAACTAAAGTTGAAAGAATATAAGAATTCAACACCAAAAATATAGTAATTTTGTCTTCAAGTGAGAAAAGACAAAATTTTAAATTCTTGGGGAATGGGCCACTGACAGAATGTTCTTAAGGAAAAATAGAGTGAAGGAGTAATTGACTACGATAACCATAGGGCTTTCCAGAATTTTCTCTCATAGCAAAGGGTGGGTTGCGTGGGACATTGAAAACATGCTCCATAGATCATTAATAATTGCATTATTCGCTGTCTGTCTGCGTGGTTCAGTTTTCTCACTGTGAGTTTTTAAAATTATGGCAAGATCTCTATTGACTTTGAATCTTTTCATGATCCATTCAGACACCTTCTGGGGAATATAAAATATATTAACACCTTTTTTTTAAAGGAGGGATATGTATTTAGATTTGATTCAAAACCCAATGAGAAGCAGAGGGTTTGGCCAATAAATAGCAAGATGATGATGATAATGATGATGACGATGATGACGATGACGATAACCATCATCATCATCATTATATTCAGGCATTGATGGCTACCTCAGTCTAACAAGGTTCACTTTAAGCCATAATCCCAATGATGCTTTCCCATCCTGAAATCACCCAGCATCTTCTACTGGCATGTGCCCAGCTCCCCATGCATGGGGAGCAACTGTACAGCAACTGTACATTTGGCTGGAGAGAAACATGAGGGTTTGTGAGGGTCCACACCCACCTTGCTCACCACTTGACCCTCCACAGTGAAAACAAACCTCAGAGTCTGATCTAATCTCCCTCAGAGCTGCGTATGTGGGAATTAGAAGTGGGCTTCTACCACTCTGATTCCCAGGAGATCCATCTCCCTTGTCATTCCGACTTGAGCCTTAAGGAAACTGTGTTGATTGTTTGCAAAAGTCAACCTTGGAAACAGTTTGGAGGATTGCTCAAAAGGGAAACATAGGGCTGGGGGTGTGGTTTGGGGTGGGCAGCTGCCTAGAATCTCCCAGTGGAAGGCTGGTGTGTGGCTCAATGGTAGATAACCTGCCTAGA